CGGGCTGGTGGGAGTCGGGGCGGGATAGAAGTGGAGACCGGACGCTCCGACTAGTCTCGCCTGTGTGTTTTGTGAATGAACCACGTGGCAGTGACTCACTCGGTGTGTTTCCAGACTTTTGCAGAAGCTGCTGCTGCTGCTGGCGGCGCCGGCGTGTGGCTCCCCTTTTTTTTTTTTTTTTTTTTTTTTTGGGCGTTCTTGCTCCCACCCGTTCGCCAACTAACTGGGACCCAGCCCAGCATGGCGGGAACACGTCTCTCGCTAGACAGTCTCGCCGCCGCCGCCGCCGTCTGCCTCTTCGTTGGCACCTTTCTGCCGCCACCAGGTAAGCGTTGCGTCCTCGCCCCCATCCCTACAGGATGAGAGGGGGCATGGAGGGGGGAGATCGCCGGCATCCCAAACCTCGGGAGGGGGGGAAATCCAGAATCGCTCCAGGGAGGGCACGCTGGGGGACCCCGGGAAGCCTGAAAAGGGGAGCGTTGCCGATCTTCTCAGCCCCGAGCCGAGCTGCCCCCGGCTCCCTAACCGCTCGGGCCTTCCTGGCGGGTTTGCCCTCCTAGCCCGGTTGGCGTGTGCTGGCGCCCCCAGGGTCTCGGCTCCCGCTTTCCTGCCTGCTACTTTCTTTCTGAGGGCCGGGCCGTCTCTAGCTTCCAACTTGGACGTAGAGACGCGGATGGGTGAAGGAAGCGGTGTTAGTGAGCCCGTAGGGCGCAAGGGTGCTCTTTGGAGAGGAGACGAGAAACTTTTGGCACGAGAGCTGGGTCCGAGGGTCATCCACTTGGGGCGGAGGAGGAGGAGGAACCCCCGGGCTCAGCCGCTGGACTTCGCAGCCTCTTGTTTGTGGCTGTTGCCTCGTCGTCCGATCTTGAACTTGGGAATGCTCAGCCTGTGTCTGAGAGACGTGTTTGCCTTTTGTTCCTACGAGCGTTGCTTCGTCGTTTTGAGTGCTGCTGACTTAACTTTCGAAACAGTGTGTGTGTTCGTGTGTCAGTCAGTGAGTGAGACCAGGCACAAATGAAGGAGGCTTGCGGGGATAGATCTTGCTCGCCGGCTGCTCCGACTCCGGCCCCAGCGTGTCGTGGAAGCTAGCAGGGGTCCTTTCCCACCCTCGCCTCTTCTTTTCAGCCCTCACCTCCACCCCGGTCCTCTGGTAAGAGTCAGAGTCTCCTTCCCCCCCCCCGTGCGTTGGGACCAGTCCTTAGGTTGTGACGTCTGAACAGCTGGGGCGGGGATTATGCCTCTTGTTTCTGTATGTGGAGAGAGAGAGAGAGAGAGAATAACACCTGGAGCGAAGAGACGGTCCTCTAAGGTTTCATCCCTGGAGTCAGGCTCAGACTAGACATGCCTGTGGTAGATCTGATAGTTAGAAATAATCTGGGCCTGTCCGTTCACATATACGTAACTCGAAAGTCAATTTCAAAGCAGCATAGGTGGGTGAAGGGATTTGAACATTTTTGTCCCTTAACACGCCTAATCAGTTGACTAGCCCTTTCCCCCTTTTGGCTCAGCTCTTATGGTGAAGAGATGAGGAATTTCAGTGTCAGTGCAGAATATATGAGGAGGAGTTTCTGTGCTCTTCCTGCTTTGCACCCACTTAGTAGCTGGCATGCTTTATACTGTAGGGTGGGCAGAACAGGTAGATTGATATTTACAGAGGAGTCTCTTGGTGATTTGTGGTAAATATACAAGGATTTCTAATTCTCGCAGTTTAATAATAGCAACCCACCTGGACTGCCCAAGTCCAGTAAATAAGTAAGTGAATAAAGCTGATGAAACTAAGTTCTGGGGGAAACCAATTCTTGAAGTACTATTAGTTCTCCCTTGTTCTTTATTCCTGAGACTTGCCTACTGGAAACTTGCTTCCAGATAAGCATTCTCAGAGCTATGCCACAAGTGTCTGAGTTTTTAATCCCAGACATTGTTTTGATAACCTTGGGCTTCTAGTTAAAAACTAAGTAGATCTTACAAGCCTGAAACATGCTATTGTGGGAGACCCAGGTTGAAATTTGTTTATGGAACAATGAACCAATCCTCTGTGATTTTTGTTTTGTTTTGGGATGCTGTGAGCTTGGTGTTTTATAATATTATTAAACATACATTGTCAAATGATAATATTAAAGGTAACTTTCTACCTTAAGGTGAAGACAACCTAGATTGTTTTGCTGCAAAATTTCTTTCATAAACCAACTTACAGTCTGATACTAGGGATGCAGGGAATTCATTAACAGTGCAATCCATGCATGTCAAATATTTAATTTAGTATTTATTTTTAAAAATCCATTATTTTTCTGATCCCAAAGAAAATTACCTCTGTGTGACTTTCATAGACTCAAGGTACACATATAAGTTTGTAAACAGAAAAAAACTGTCGGTTAAATTTTCAGTATCAGAACTGGATAACAAACAATAAACCTCCAAGATTTATAAGTTTCATCTGTTAAGCTTTCATAAACTGGAAATCTTGTTCACAAATTTCTTTTAGTCATTGTAATCATATACATTAGAAACCACTGGTTGTTGTGGAGGGCTGTTTCAGGAATATAACAAATTAGTTCTGATTATGTATATACTGTATGTAGTGGAGTATCTTTGCTGTATTAAATGTTCTATAGCACAATACATTATCTGTTGTTTTCCTTCCCCTCTGTAATGGGAGGAGAGGGTTCAATAACCAGAACACCTGCTGTTGAGGTAAGATGAAATATTGGTTGAATTATTCAAAAATATAGGTTAAAAACTCCACTGGAAAACTGGTTGTATTTTTCGTAGCTGGGCATGTTTGGCATAAATATTTTTTAAAATTACATGCTGGTTTAAAAATGATTTTATGTCTTTCTCGGCTACTTTGCCAAATTCAGTTGTTTTGGAAGGACTTGTGGTCTAAACATGTAAAACTTGGCTGCTAACCCAGTACATGTCCACACAGAAGTTCCATGGTGCTCAGTGGGGCTTGTTGACAAATAATAGGAGCACAGTGTCAGGCTGTAGTAATAAATACTTTCATCAAAAAGGAAGTCCCGCTGAATTCTGTGGGATTCATCTTTTAGTCAGTATGCTTATAATTCCAGTGTAACTGAACATTCTTGGATTGTGGGTTTTCTCAGGAGTATTCCTCAGTTTGGGAAAGGGCTAAAAGAATCAAATACAGGGAGGTTCTCCTCAAATTGTCAAGTAGAAATCTCCATGGTCTCTCCTGTACAGTTATGAGTTCTCTGAATTGTGGCTGTTGTGTTTAAAGGGCTGTAATCCTAATTTAGGGACATGGTGGTGCTGCAGGCTAAACCGCAGAAGCCTGTGCTGCAGGATCAGAAGACCAGCAGTCGTAAGATCGAATCCATGCAACGGAGTAAGCTCCCATCACTTTGTCCCAGCTCCTGCCAACCTAGCGGTTCGAAAGCAAATAAATGCGAGTAGATGAATAGGGACCCCCTTGGTGGGAAGGTAACAGCGTTCCGTGTCTAAGTCGCACTGACCATGTGACCACGGAAGATTGTCTTTGGATAAATGCTGGCTCTATGGCTTGGAAACGGGGATGAGCACCGCCCCCTAGAGTCAAACACAACTGGACAAAAATTGTCAAGTGGAACCTTTACCTTTTTACCTTTCATCCTAATTTAGCTGGTTGGATAGCTCAGTGGGACCAGAGGCTGGGAGTTCAATTCCCCACTGTGTATCCAAGAAAAGCCAGCCTGTGTGGCCATGGGCAAACTGCACAGTCCCAGGATGCCCCTAGAAGAAAGGAATGGTAAACCACTTGAGTGCTTTATACTTACGAGTAGAAAATCCTGAAAAGGGTCACCATAACTCAAAACTGACTTGACAGCACATGATTATTGTTATTGCTAGTTCTAACTTAAATTCCAACTGGTTAGCTGTGATTCACCCTTTTTCTGTTTTAAACTTATCATAGCTTTGAAAGTTCAAATATAGCATTTACTTACATTTCTAGGTAAATGACACTTTCATTTTTAGACTAGAAGAGAACCATTGCCTTTATAACTTGGAACGAAAACAGAGGCTTTCTAATGCTATAGAAAACTAGGTAGTGGAGGCATTTGTGGCAAATCCATCAGGTGGTAGATCATTAATATAACAATTTAATGTGTTTGAAGCATGTCACATTAATAATTTCAGCTAGTCCTTACATCACTTCTGCAAAGTGTGTCAGTATAGTTACACCCATATTTAAGAATTTGCTTTCAATCTAACGTGGCCCACTCACCCCATTTGGGTAGGTGAAGATTTGACTTTCCGTCATGTCACCCATTGCCAGAGATCCAGATGTATCAACAAAGACATATGTATTTATGCTAATATTCATGGGATTCAGAAATCACGCTTAATAGCATTATTTTAGTAACATTAAAATTAGAAACACTTAATAATAACGGTTATAGGTAAAGGTAAAGGTTCCCCTTGACAATTTTTGTCCAGTCGTGTTCGACTCTAGGGGGCAGTGCTCATCCCCGTTTCCAGGCCATAGAGCCAGCGTTTTGTCCGAAGACAATCTTCCACGGTCACATGGCCAATGCGACTGAGACACGGAACGCTGTTACCTTCCCACCGAGGTGGTACCTATTTATCTACTTGCATTTGCATGCTTTCTAACCGCTAGGTTGGCGGGAGCTGGGACAAGCGACGGGAGCTCACTCCGTCGCGTGGATTCGATCTTACAACTGCTTGGTCTTCTGACCCTGCAGCACAGGCTTCTGCGGTTTAGCCCGCAGCGCCACCACGTCCCTCTAATAAAGGTTATGCTCTTGCAAAATGAAGGTGTGGTTCAGTGGTTTTGCAAGATCTTTAAATAGCACGTAGAGCACCAAAATAGATGAGAGTAATTTACTGGAAAGTATTTTAGAGCGTGTAAGTTAGAAGATGGATACTCAGTGTGGTATAGCAGATATGAGTGAGGACCTAGGACTCAGGAAGCCTGGGTCTGAATCCCCACTCAACCATGAAAACTCACTGCAGGTGTGGAAATGGAAAGGCTATTCCTTAAGTATTTCACGTACTTGAAAGTCCTATTCGGACCATTATAAGTCTGTTCTGACTTGATGGCACACAACAAGTCAGAAGATACTTGGCAATTTTTTATCCTTTTGGACTGTATGTGCCACAGTTAACTAATATAGACTTAAGGCCAAAAGTAATAGGAACCATTTGTGTTTGTCTGTAAGTTTGATATGAGCAAGCCTCCTCTCCTATCCCTGCTGCCTGCCAAACTTCTACAAAGTTTGCTGACCATATTTCATTTGACAGGAATATAGATAGTCATCAGATCATTTATCACAAGTTTTCTGGTTATGCTAATTTTGCACAGGAAAA